ACTGGGCTGGATGTTGCAGAACGGAACAAAGGTGAGCACCCATTACATTTTTTTCCCCAAATCCATATCAACCATCCAGCATTGTCCGGAGTCGGCGTATGTGCGCGTAACAAGGCACGATACATACATGAGGCGGAGCTCATGAGGCGGAGGCTCATGAGGTGGAGGCTCATGCAGCTTGAGTGTACCGTTGGAACCTTCGAAGGGATTTACTCATACCTTGTTGAGACAAATCTTCAAAACAGGTCCAATAATAAAATACCGAACTAAGGTGAGGAGCTAGATCTTCTATATCTAGCATTCCTCAATCCGTCGGCTGACAAGCCAGCACCATCTCCGTTTTCCCGCACGAGTGTCTCGACACGCCATATGACAGCCGTGAGCCACGCACGTGTGTTCGTGCAGCAACGCGCTATATTGGCGAGCATACTAGTGGAGTGATAGTCATGAGCTTTGGAGCTGGAGTGCGGAGGCAGTTAGGCTTGAATATCTTTTTCAATGTTGTTTTTGATTTTCTGAAGCTTTTGTATAAGGACAGAGAGGGATCGTTTAAAAACGTCGGGTGCAGGGATAGAGCCGGTGGCTTCGACTTGGAATATAAAGTGGTCTTTGATCTTGCGGACTTCAACTTGTGTGGGGAAGCGTTCGATGCAAGCTCGGCAGGTAGTACATTGCGTTGGTTTTGCGACAATGGCTTCTCCGTTTTCGATATCGAAAACGTTCATAGGACAGAGATTGACCAAGTCTTCGGCTTCTGGGCCACGCAGAACACCTTGGGGGAATATGATTTTGGGATGGAGTCGGTAGACGGCAGGACAAACGGGGCTCCACTTAGCGTGTGTTTTTCCGATACCCTTTTCAAGATAACACACAGCTTCAATTTCTTGTCCGGGTCGCAACTTCGTAATTAAATAATCCTCTGACACTGGCCGTGGTGGCTCCGGGTACTGCTCTTTCTGTTGTTCGGATAGCGGGACCCAAACGAAGTCACGACTGTAGACAGGCAAGCATTTTTTTTCTTGGTCCAAATTCTCAGGAGTACAAACAATATGCAATTTAAAACAAAGACTGTTCTCCGCCGTCAACTCCTCATTCTCCGTACGATACTTGTACGTCTCCGGCTCCACCTTAAACGGAACCAAACCCAAACGATGACATAACACCTCATCCTGTAACACACCCGTGTTCTGATACAAATGTACCGTCTCAATCGCCATCGTTGGCACTTCCGCGATCATTACACGTCGCAACGCATTCGCCATCGCCACGTCCACCCCTTTCAAATCAAACAGCACACGCTCCTCACCCTTCTGCCGCATATCTATACTCATTCGCTTCACCAGCTTCTTCATATCATAATCGGGACACACACCCATAGCCGCAAACGTAGACGCACTCGTTATGCTCTCCACGTCACGCGGCCCCTCCAGACCACAAACCAACTCCTTCACCTGCGCCTGCAAGTGACTTGGCAAACCCTCCATTTTCTCCGGCCGAAAAATCAAATATTCACCCATGGCCCCACGGTTATGGCCCCATGGCCATGACCTTTTCGGCACTACACTCACGGCCCTCACCCTCACCAACATGGTCCCCACGGTACAGTTAGATCTTCTTGTCGGTTAGTTTGCTGATGGTCGAGAAAAGGAATTTCATTAACCCGTCCTTCACTTCCGGCTGTCTGGCCGGTCGATTCTCGCTCGCAGGTTCCTTAAACTCTTCTTCGGAACTGCTTTGGTGATCCGCCTCTTCTTCCTCTGTGAGCGGCGAAGATGGACTGGGCAGAGAACCATGTTCTGGTTTTGCCTCCTCGGACCCGTTTCGGAGATTTGACGCCATTTGTTCGTTCTGAGACTGAATGGTAGCGCAAATGCCTTGGAATTTTTGGTCCAGTACGTTGTCTAGAGCGGGTTTTTCCCTCTTGGTCCAGGTCTCGTAGCGTTCTGTCAGGTTGTTAAGTCTGTCCCCAATGGACCTGACGAGTTGTTCAAATTCAGTAGACAATTTACGAATTCTGAGAGACGAGTCGGCTTCCAATCCCCGTAGCTTATCTTCCAGTTGCTTCACTTGCGTTTGATGATTCGCAATCATCTCCTGCCACTGGCTTTGAACCGTTTCCAAGTCGCTGGTGGTGTGTTCGGCCTCTCTCGTGAGGGTATCAAAGATTGCTTTGGACTCTTTAATAGCACCCTGGATAGCTACCAGGTCCGATTCACTCTGCATCACGGCCTTCCTCATCGGTTCGATTGAGTCAGAATGGCTTTTAATCGCCGTGCTGTTCCCGGCTCGTCTCTTCTCAGACTGCTCCTGGACGTGCTTCAAAAATCTCTCTAACTCGGTCACCATTTGGTCTTTGGCACCAGAACTATACCACTCGGCTACAGAGCCAGGGGTAAACGGATCAGACAATGGAAACATGGCGGAAGCTATGGACTCCGGCCAGGATAACTTAGGGATGTTCTGCATTGCCAGCACACGTTTCCGACATGATTCCCATTGTGGCGTAAGTTCTAGGTAGATGCTCTGCAACTCATTCCTCAAAGCTTCCGAACTCTCGGCCACTACCCTCTGGCTCGCACGCGTACATCGTACCGTCTCCTCCAAATCCTCCAACTGCTTCCGCAGGTTCCCTCCCGTTGTAATCGCCTCCTCCAATGCCGGCTTCCGACGCGTCAAACCTTCCAGCCCCCGCGTCGCCTCCACAACATCCGCCTCCAATTGAGCACAAGAACGACCCAACTCCTTCTCCTCCGCCTGCAACTCCGCCATCCGACCCCGCACATCCTTGGACTGCTTCTCCAACTGTGACACGTCTTGACACAATATATCCCCACGATCCTTGCCCTCACTAACCATCCGAGCTAACTGCCCTATATCTACCGTCTCTCCATCCACCGATATTCTCACTAATAAACATCTCCCACATGTGTGCTCACTCCCACATGTGTGCTCACTCCCACACGTGTGCTCACTCCCACACGTGTGCTCACACCCACATGTGTGCTCACTCCCACATGTGTGCTCACTCCCACATGTGTGCTCACTCCCACATGTGTGCTCCCACACACGTGTGCTCTTACTACTGTGCTCCAATTGAATCTTGTACATTTGTAGAAATATCCGCAGGAATTGTATCATCATCTCATTATTTCTAGTTCTTTGAGAGTCGTCATCTCCCATTGATCTTATTCTGTACATTAAATACATAATCAAGTCTACATCATATTGTTCTACCATTCCCACTCTTTCAATATTCTTTAGAGCTCTTTCTCTGACCAATTCTTCGTTGATTTGGTATCCCTCTCTTCCCGTTCTGGATGGAGTCGGAACGGGTGTAGCACTAGACCTCAATGGGGTGGTCGTACCGCGTTTGCAGAACGCGTTCACAATGTTCTTAATGCTAGCCAACATGACCCCGTCTGTTTCAGTGAATTGTGATCTCCTCAATGAGCCGGTATGAATTTCGTAATGCTCCTCTAACAAACTTTGAGTGAACAAGCTTAGCTGATTTGGCACGGTCATTTCCGCAGCGTAAATACCCGTAATCAGCCACAAACAGGCTGCCGAGAGAGAGCTCGGATCATTCCTCAGAAGACGACCCTGATACGAAAAGGCACTCAACGCTCTCTCCAGAGATTCAGGTCCCAAACCGATTCGCCTTAACGCAAATATTTTAATCGACTCCAACGCTGCCGGATCATCGAAACTGGGCTTACTCAATGGGTCGGGAAACCTCCAACTTTTGAGAACCCTAAAGATAAGAATGTCCATGTGTCACCCCTCCAAAGGTTCTATACGTATAGAAGGTGACCCTCTTATAGTGTCACCCGAACCTTTATAAGCGTCATGTGAGTGGGTGTTACTCGAGCGTTCGCGAAGTGAGTTCATCCGGGAGTCCCCAAGGGCAAGGCGAGCGTGTCGTCAGTTGCGGTTTGGGTGTGGTATCCATCGGAATCTTTGTCCCTGCAAGTGGTTGCCCCTGTGTCTGGTCAGATCGCTGGTGGGCAACGCAATCTTTTGCTTCTGGGCGACGGTATATCGGTCTGTGTGTCTTGGTGTGTGTGTCTTGGTGTGTGTGTCTTGGTGTGTTTGTCTTGGTGTGTTTGTCTTGGTGTGTGTATATTCTCTTTAGTTAATAAAAGGTTAGTGCAATAAAACGATCCAGGCCGCAATGTGATGGATCAGAGCGGCGAGGGAGACGAAGGCGTGAAATACTTCGTGGTATCCAAAAATGTTGGGCGCTGGGTTGGGGTAACTGAATGCGTAACATAGAGCGCCAACGGTGTAAAAGACACCTCCGAGTGTGAGGAGGATGACCACGGTGACTCCGACCACATTTATGAGTCTTTTGGCCACAAAGATAATGATCCAACCTAGACCCACGTAAATGGGTACACCCACATATCGCGGATGGTGCGGCCATAACAGGGATAATGTTGCACCAAGCACCGCACCCGACCACGTTATCGACAGGATCACCACTCGGGGTACTCCATCCATACACAGCGTCGCAAAGAAAGTGTAACTACCAGCTATGAACACAAAGATACCCGAATGATCCAAACGCCGCATCAGCAACCGTTGCGGGGCAGTCTTCCAATGAATTATGTGGTACGCAGCACTGGTTCCGAACATTGCAACCAAACTTAGGACATAGACAATCGAAGCTAAAATCGCCTCAGCACGACCTGCACACACATCTCTCAGGCAACTTCCCGATACACATCACTTCATGTGTGCATATGCGTGTGTTACCGTGCGTGTAAGTATACCATGTAGAGCAACGACAATAGTCATCGCAAGGCCGCTCATCAAGCTGATGATGGCGGAGTAGAAGTGTATCCATCCTCTTGCTCGAGGTTTATCCACGAAATCGCTTTTGACGGATCGTTCGAACGCGTGTAAATCAAATCCGGTGGCTTCTAGACCAGTGAGCGAGCCTTGTTCGGTTCCAAACCGATTGCTGGACAGACGTTCTCCGGCTCCGCTTTCTTGGTACGCCACAGATTCCGGCATCCTCGGTCTCATGGTCTTAATTTTTAAATGCTCCCCAATGAATGTTCTCAATTGGTAACAACACTGTGGGCAGGCGGGCCGGGTGCAAAGGATGCCAAGGAAAAGATTGAGGCGTGCCAAACCTCGGAGGATGGATGGGGGCTAGCCGTAGACTGTTTAAGGAGCGACTTCACCCACCTAAATTTCTTCGGAAGTCAACTTTTATCGTCAAAGGTCAAACAAGACCACCCAGGGTGCCCTCCCTTGCACTTCTTACTCTCTACCACCTTGGAGTGCTACCGTGGACTCATCGCTCGCCCACGCCTACTTCAATCCCGTCCTGTGGACGACGATACCAATCGGAGAAAGGCCGACTACGAAGCGTATGGGCAATTAGCCAAAAGCCGGGTCCTCTCTCTCATCCCCCTCATTTTCGACGTTGCCGTGGATCTTACTCCTCTTTGTGAAGTGATCTCCTTTTCCTCCCGCCTCCCGACTGCACCCAGTGGCGCTGCCACCCATGGCACCGGCACCCATGGCGCTGCTACCCAAGGGGGCGACGAAGAATGGGATTTATACGAAGCCGGACTTTTTGAGGGGCTGAGCGAAGTACCTCCTGTGTTGGCCAAACGGGAGTCCATGTCTTATAATGCAAATATTTGGCAGTCCGCGTTTGTCCTTCCATATACGCGTACTGTGGATAATTTATTGTGTTCAGGATTGAAGAAGTTCGGCAAGCGTATCGTGGACCTATCAACCACACAGGACGTGCGCTTCTACGATCGTCTTTTGTTAGATTTGCGATCTGTTGCGAAGGCAGTTGCGTATCACATGGATTTGTTAGGCGAGCTGCCGAAGACTGGGCAAGTTCTGAAGCAGGTTCTGGCGCTGCTTCAGCAACTGTATATGTCTCTGAACCAGCGACAGCAGGTCGACATTTTGGCGTTGGGCCTCGCGGCGTTGATCCACAGAGTGCTTGCAGTGTCGGTGCCAGGACTGCTGAAGCCGGACCCGATCGTTAGTTTACGTTCGACAGAGATCGCGACTCTTTTCCGAGCGGCTATCGGCACGTTATTGCAAGTTCTGCAGCGGCTGGACAACAGCCCGGACTTGGGTGGAGACTGGGACGCGAAGATCGTGGAGGATGCCGTCGACGAGATGGTGGCTTGCTGCTCGGAGACACTCTCGTTGCCGGCTGGGAACGAGGAGATGTCAGATATTTTTAGTCCCATGGCGGGAGAGATCTTGTTGTTTCTACAGAAGGCGTCGCTGACTCCCTGTCATAGGATTTTCGTAAGCGTCACAGAGGCGTTTTCGGCCCTCTCGGAGGGACTCAAGAGCGCTCGGGACGAAGGCGCGGAGTCGGTCTTGGTGGAGCGTTTGGAGGAGGGATTGGCCCGGACGCTGATGGCTACCTGGCTGCAGAGCCTGTTGCAGGTCGTGGAATGCGAAGAAGACGCCGACGACGAGTACATCAACGCGTTGTGCGACGGCAGCATGGACGGATTCATGCTGCTGCTCCCGCTGTACATCAACAACCCGGAAGCGCTCCACTTCATTCTCGAGACTCCGTACGAATTCACGCGTCTCAGCCAGCAGGAGAACGCGCAGCTGGGCGCGACGCACCTGGTCGGGGCGAATCTCCCCGGCTCAAACCGGCCGGTCGAAGGTTCAAATTTGTTGGTTGGTGGCTCGAAGACGCAGCACGCTCGCCAGGTGTGCATAGATGCGTTTTGGACGGCGGTCGGTGAGACGTTGGTTATTTTGGTGGACCGGAACGTGAACAACGTGCTGTTACGGCAAGTGATGAACGGGATTGTGGTGGCTGAGGTCGTGCCGGCGACGGTGAAATTGCTCGAAACGGCGTCCAACTACCTGCGTCGGGAGACGTTGCGGAGCTTGTTGTTCGACAGCGCACCAGCGCCCGATGCAGGGGTGCCGGGTCGGCCGCCGAGTCCGACGGGCCTGAGTGTGGCTACGGACGGCTCGACCACAGTGGGGACGCCGCGCGTGAACGTGACAACTGAGCCTGGCTTGTTCAGTCGTGTGAAGGCCTTGGCACTGCGTCGGAGCCACATGCAGTTGGTGGATGTATTATGCTTTATTTTAAAGCGACTAGACGCGTCGGACTCGGACTTACTTGAATTTGTGCGCCAGGCCAACGCGGATGAAGAGCTGCGTGATGCGGCGGCGATTCCCTTTATCGCACGCGCCACGGTGCTTTTGGAGGACTTGCCGACGCTGGAGTTCCGTATTGGTAGGGCGTGTCGCGTCTTTGCGGAAGGTACTGACGTGGAGAGCATCTTCAGGCATTTACTGTTCGCGTTTGTGACTCTCCACTCCTGTCACTCGGATGACGTGAACACGGACGCACGTTGCTCAGTTTCCTTCTGTTTCTCGAGCAACCGATTCATACAGGCACTGATCGCTGTCGCGATCAAGAGCAACTTGTTGCTCACCCCTCTCGAATGCCACCAGCTGCAAAAGCGAGGTGGAGAACAGTACTGCCGAACACCCTCCACAGTTTATGACGAAGTCCTCAAAAATCAGGAACTCTCACCCGCCAAATTTACAAGACTTGTGTATCACACACTCCGTTGGGTTACCGTCATGGTACTGCCGGATACAGACGACGAAACGCTACTCAACTGCCTCCTGCAACTTAACGCCCAAAGTAGCAAAGCCATGTTCGTTGAACCCGGCTTCATGGCCGTGCTAGAGAACCTAGTCAAACAGTCCAGACAACGACGCATTCTAGATACGTTAATGACCATACACCCGTTACCAGGCAGCCCCCTGTGTGAACTCACCCTCTTCGACAACCTCACCCTAATAGACGAAGAACCCTTCGTATACCTCATTCGATCTGCGCTCTACTGCATCAATGCTTACGCCAACAGCATCGGACGTCCAGGCTTTCCCGCCTTCCTCGAAGCCAGACCCGAATTCCCCACCATTCAAAATGCCGTCCTAAACATTCTAGCACACTCCACCAACGGACCGCTTCTTCGAGAAGCATGCAACCTCGCTAGATTCCTCAGAAATGAGAAAGACCAAATCCTACGGACCATCTTGGCCAGATTCACCTTATGGCCCAACTCCTTCATCATCTACGGAGTTGCGGTTGTAAAGGCATTCATCTACGAAGCCAACAACGAGTCGCTTATCAGTATGCCCCCCTATCCCCACCTGCGTCCCAGCACGCACACATGAGGGGCAGCACACATGTGCGGGGCTATCGCACACCCGCGTCTACTTTTGGTAATTTCAGATGACTTTGTGCGGATCCTGATGGCGCCTCTACTAGCAAACCCTCTCGTTCAGTCTGGGGTGGTTATTGGCTCTCACGAGCTCGTTCTACGTGCATACAAATCAGTGCGAGGCAAATTGCTTGATGGCTTGTTCGGGGACATCTGGAGAATCGACAATAAGGAGCTGCTCCCCACAGATCTGCTTCGAAATTGCGAGTCGGCCCTGGAAAGGTACCACGGCCCCGTTTCTGAACCCCTATATATGACTCTGGACGACCTCTAGCTCTCGGCGGCCTTTAGCTCTACCTTTAGCTGTCGACCACCTTAAGTTCTGGTGGGCCTTTAGCTCTGCTTTTGTCAGCTCTACCTTTATCAGCTCTACCTTGGACTCTACCCTTGGCTGCTCTACCTTCGGCTTGTCAATGACCAGTAGTTTTGGACGACCTTGGCATGGCCAGTAAGACCCTTGAGAGGGTGCCCTGCCCGAGGTTCCCTGTGGTTAGAAGTCAAGAAGGCTTTGGGTTCTGCTCATTGTGCGAGAATCTTCTAGCGCGGCGAGGATGGCTGCACCGAGTCCGCTACCGTCTTGGGCTTGGTGGAGATGGATGAGTTTACCGACGCCGTCACCGAGAATGAAGCGGAGAGCGACGGCGATGTCTTCGCGGTACTGCGGGTTGCGGACGAAGACGCTGCCGTCGATGCCAACACTGATGCCCCCGGCGGCGTATTGGAGGCGGCCGGACTGTTTGGCGAGGGCTGCGATGATGACGGCGACCATGTTGGCGGAGCGGCGTAGGACGGCGCGACACACGTCGCGCACAATTTCGAGAGTGCGTTCACTCGGCTCCGGCCACTCGAGCTGGCGGTCGAGCATGACACGCGTGGCGCTCAAGTCAGCGTCGTAGGCGGCGGCGCAGCACGCAGCCGTGCTGAGCGAGTCGTGCACCCAAGCCAGCGGCGGTGCCTCCCAACGGAAGACGCGCAAAATCGCGCGCCGACAGAGTTCAGCCAAGTACAGACCGGAACATATCTTCTCCGTCAACTGCTGCCCCAGGTTCGCCGTGGCGCAGTCGACTTGCCGATCAATTATGTTTCGCGGCAGCTTGTACCGGTAGCCGCCGCACTCCGTGTTGATAATAATGCCCTGATAGTCGAAACGCGGCGCCGTCTTCTCAATGTAGCACGCGTTCATGCCCGTACCCACAATCAAGCCAATACAACATGGAGGGGCACCCCGGACCGATCGCAGCGAATAAGCCGCCGACAATAAAGTTCCCGTGGTGTCGTTCAAAGCCGCAGACACACGCAAGGGCACCTCATTCCGCGAGAAGGCTGTATCCAACAACTGACACACGTCCGCCTCGCCCTCCACTTTGTCATCCGTGTCGCGCCCGGTCTCAAAGTTCTTGTTCCAGTGCGTCAACACTCCTGAATCGATCCCGTGCTGCTCCATCGGGAAACTGAAGGTGAACCCACAAGCAAACGGACCATCCGCCGCCTTCGCCAGGTCGCCATTCTCTGTCATAAACTTCTTCGCAAACAACGCAATGCTATCGAACAACATTGTCGCCGTCGCATGCGAGTCCAACAAGCCTCGCGGCAAACCCGGCGCAAACTCCCGCCCGTACTCCTCGAAGTTCATCGACGCGTGTCCGCACGCTTTAACCCCCGTGCCACTCATCTCTACGCGCACCACACGCAAATTCGTCCCTCCGAAGTCAACCGCGTAGTATATCCCACGCTCCTTGCCCGTCGGCGACACAGAGACACACGTGTCCAGGAACGGCATCGAAGCTGGCTCCTCGCGAGTCGGGTTCTTGTGGTGACGTAAAGCCTGACGGCACTCCTTATTCACCCCGTCACGGATTGCCAACATGGTCTCCTTGTCCCAATGAAACATTCTCATGTATTTCTAAACACCCAGTACGTATTCACACGCTCCACACTCACCGTGTACCGGTCCTCAAGGGACTGCTGCTCGATCTTCGGCTTATCGAATTTCATTCCAATAATGTGCGACACATGCATGACCGCGAGGTCGATTGCGAAACCACTCTCTGCTCTCTATCCTCGCTCCGTACGTGCTCCCTCGCGACCTGCGCCACTGACCAAACCACGCCAGAGACTCTTTTAGGACAAATAAGGATTAAATCACTTCGTTCATCCTCCACGAAAAATGACCCATCTATAACTAAATTCGAAATTAAAACCATCACGTGTTCGCCGTTACATAGTCCTTGTGCAACTCGCACTCCGCCCAGGTCCTCGGCTAATAGCAGCGAATCCTCAACGAGCTGGATCTTTCCCAGTGTCACGTTCCCCACATACCCTTGATAGTGTCTTATATGATGCAACACGCCGGCTGCTATATCGCAGCTCTGTTTCATAGTCCATTGTACAAACCTAGGGTCTCCGAATCCCTTTTTGACAGAAGAATAAACCTCAGCATCCGAGGTACGAAATTCCGCCGGGCGCCTCTTGCCCGAGGACGTAAGCCAACTAATGTCACTCGACCGTCGTCCACCAGATCGCCTATCACATGTCCGCCAGTCAGTTGGCCGCCAGTCGTTCGGTCTTGTAGCCGGCGATCTCGGATCCGCCGGTCTTAAATCCTTCAATCGGCGCATCAGCACACGCGTGTGCTGCGCTTACTCGCTGTCGGTTTCTTCGCTGCTGCTTTCAATATCTCGGTTAGCGGCCGCGTCGGCCTTGCTGGGGGCGGGCATGGACTCGAAGACATGCGCAGTCGGCTTGCAAGTGACAGGGTCCGACCATTTCGCGGCAGCGACGCCAGTTTCTCTGGGAGCGGCTTCGAATACGTAGTTGGCGTCTCCAGCCGGTTTCTCCATGTCTTCTCCGGCCTTCGCGTGGGCCATGCTGGGAGCAGGGTTATTGGCGAAGATTTGCTTGAGCTGCGCGGCATTCATTTCCTCCCCTTGTCCGGCGATGACATTGGCCTTGTGGTCGCTGGGGAGCTTCTCGAAGACAGCGGGCGCGTCCATGGAAGTGGAGACAGGATCACAGGCCCGGACAGCCGCAACACTCGGTCGAGGAGCGCTCTCGAAGACAGCTTTGCAGGTTATACTCTCGGTCATGTTAGGTCCAAACGCGACGGCGTCGGCTGTGCTTTCCTTCGGGGGGCTAACGAACAAGGAGCTGTGCGACTTTACCACCAAGGGACTGGAATAGCTGACGTCAGCCGTGCTCGGTGAAGCCCTCGAAGCGAACACTGCCTTGCGCTGGGCCGCCGTTTGCTCCTGATACGCCGTCACGTCTGCTTTCGATGCCGCCGGCTGGTTCTCGAACATTGAAGACTCCTGCTCGACAGTCACCGTGTCGCTGTAGGATACGTCCGCCACCTTCTCAGCCCGCGGTAGCGCCTCAAACACTGAAGGCTGCTCAGGATTCACGTCCGCCTTCGAGATGTGGATCGCCGCGTCCGCCGTGCTCGGCACCGGGTCCTTCACGAACTCCGTGACACGCTGCTTTGACTTCTTCGTTCTCTTCTTCGGCACGGCCACCCCCTCTTCGCCGCCCTGCAGCTCGTCCTGCAACAGCTCTTCCTCCAACTCCTCCTCCAGTTCCTCCTCTCCGCCTTCGTCTTCGCCTTCCACTGCCATTGCGTCCGGCTCGCCAACAGCCGCTTGGTCGGTGACCGGTGCCTCTTCCAGCTGCGACTTTGCTTCCCCCTCATCGGCGGCAGGCAGCTCAGCCGCACTGGTCGGCACTTTGCCTTCCACCGGAGCTGCTTCTTCCGTAGGGGATTCAGCCAGAGACTCAGTCACAGACTCCGCTTCTGGTTCCGCCTCGGCATCGGCTGCCTCAACTTGCCCTTCGGCTTCCAATTCGGTGGTCGTTGTGTCAGCGGCTACAGGCTCATCCATCCCCGGCTCGTCGATCACAGCTGCATCGATCACAGTCTGGGCGGTCAGGGCTACCGCAGTCACAGCCTCGCCAGGAGTCTCTGAAGTCTCCTGCTCGACGCGTCCCTCGCCAGCAACATTTACGGGAACCTGCCTCACGGGAGCGCCGTCCAGTCCTTCACCTTCGGCGGCTCCGCCCATGGTTTCGTCACCGACGGCGGTCATTTCCACGGCCGGGTCAGCAACGAAGTTCTGGGCAGGTTCCTCACCGACGCGCTCTGCTTCAAGCTCCACGGTGCCTACCTCCAAAACCAGCGGGGTGGGCTCCCCTTCGGGTGCCTGCACTGTCTGCTCCAGAAGGTCGGGACAAACCGCTGCCTCCGTAGACGCAGCCGTGCTTCCGACCACTCCTTCAGCGCCACCACACCCCACCACTTCCGCTTCGGGGTCAGCTTCAGCCTGCACCTCCGTCGCGTCCCCATTGGGAGCTTCAGTGGTAAGAGGCTCCTCTGTGGTAAGAGGCTCCTCTGTGGTAAGAGGCTCCTCTGTGGTAAGAGGCTCCTCTGTGGTAAGAGTCTGGGGTGGGGCGAGCGAGTTCGAAACCTCTCGACCCAAGACCACGGCGTTCGTCTCAGTGGCTGCCTCGTCAGCGGGCACCGGCGAGTCGGTGGGTTCGGTCTCATGGCAGGAGATAGGACTTGATTCCGAGACGCCGGAAGCCAAAGGGGCTTCCTTGGTCTCGATTGATACTACATCGACAGTCACACCAGTTTCTGAAGGGCGTGTGTGGGTAAGTGTTACACTGAGTGGGTAACAGGGTGTGGGTAAGACGGAATGGGGAAGTGCAGTCCGGGGCGGATGGTGATCTAGTGAGCGTGTGCTAGAACCAACTTATGTTGGGGCCCGTGCGCTGGCGCCCAGCTAGTTGGCAGGAAAGCCGCTGGAGCCCAGCTGGTTGAGAGTCTTACCGCAAGCCTCCGGGGCGCTGGACATGTCGGCAAAAGAGTTCATGTTGATTACAGATCTTGCCAAAAAAAAATAATGGTGGTCAATAGCTCGAAACGGCAGAGATCCGTGAGTGTGAATCCGACGAAGAAGCCCCGGCGGCGCGAGGACCAGCTCCTTGACGCAATGCTGACAGGAGTGGACGGGAGCTGGTTGCCTCTGCTGAAGGGAGTGTTTGGAACGCCCGAAGGGCAACTGCCTCTTGCGCGACTTCAGCAAGAGCTGGATAACAAGGTAAGGTGGGTTACTGGGTCAGTGCGGTAGGGGGTCAGTCAGTGCGGGATGAGGTCGGTGTGGGTATCCCCCGCCGGTGGGTAGGTGATCTTTCGTTTCAGAAGCCGATCTTTCCGCCAGTGGAGGATGTGTTGAATGCATTCCGGTTGACGCCGTTTGAGCGTGTGAAGGTGGTGATTTTGGGCCAAGATCCGTACCACAACGACGGGCAGGCAATGGGGTTGGCGTTCAGTGTGCGCGGCCGACCACAGCGATTGCCGCCGAGTTTGCCTCGCATTTTGCAGGAGGCGGGAGTGCCGGAGGCGCCGGCGGGAGATCTGACGCGTTGGGCGCAGCAGGGTGTGCTGTTATTGAATTCGGTCTTAACAGTGGAGAAGGGTAAGGCTGGGAGCCACTCGGGTTGGGGCTGGCAGGCGCTGACTGACCGCATTCTGTTCGAGTTGTCATCGGAGACAAGTACCCGGCAGTTGCTCTTTCTACTGTGGGGGTCGAAGGCTGCGGAGAAGGCAAAGTTCATCGACGAGCGGAAGCACTTGATTCTCAAGGCCGCGCACCCTTCTCCCCTCGCCACCCGCGGCGGCTTCGTTGGCTGTGGCCACTTCCATCGTGCCAACCAGGTGCTGAGCGAACAGGGCCTGAAGCCTGTCGAGTGGAAGAGCCTAATCGACGACGAACACGTCTGGGAACAGAAACTCAGGAACATCCTCAGGGAAAAGTGCAAGGCCAAACACCTCAGTGATGCCTTCCTCACCGCCGTTCAAAACCCGATGCCCTTCCCCCCCAAACGCCTCAGTGCCGCCAGCCAGAGCGAGAGCGCACTGATCAAACCCGAGTCGCCCGTCGCCGTCCTTTGCTCCCAGGAAATCCTGCTAGAAGCAGAAAGCAGCACCATGGCCAGCAGCATGGAACATCTCGGCAACGTCTCAGACGCTCATCAACAACCGGCCAAAGACGTGACAGACCTCAAAGGCACGAAGGGCCCCAAGGCTGCGAAGGATACCAAATCCGTGAAGGATGCTAAAACTGTAAAGGATGCCAAAGCTGTGAATGATACCAAACCGGTGAAGGATGTTAAGGCTGTGAAGGACACCAAGTCTGTGAAGGATTCCAAGTCTGTGAAGGATGCCAAGGCTGTGAAGGATGCCAAGGCTGTGAAGGATACCAAGTCTGTGAAGGACACCAAGTCTGTGAAGGATTCCAAGTCTGTGAAGGATGCCAAGGCTGTGAAGGATACCAAGTCTGTGAAGGACACCAAGTCTGTGAAGGATTCCGAAGTCAAAGAAGACCGAAACGACCAGACGTTCTCCAACAGCCATGCGGAGACACCCGCGGCTTCCACGCCCACGGCGAGTGCGCGAGTCTCGACAGCGGTGCGTTCCATGAAGCGTAAGAAGGCTCAGCCTCCAGCTGGGTCGGCTGGGCAACGGGCGACCCTGAAAACCGCCAAGAAGCCTCCGAAAGCTTTGACTAGAACCAGGAGCCCGCGTACCAGAGCCAAGAGCCCGGTTATTCGCCCCGAGAGCCCGGTTCTTCGAGCCCAGAGCCCTCTTGCCAGAACCAAGAGTCCGATTCTCAGAGCGAAGAGTCCGCGCGCCAGCGCTTCCAGGTTGGGGGCCGCAGGTCCCATCAAGAACTGGGGCATCACGCAGGTGGCCATTGTGGACGGGTGGACGCAAAGCCGGGCGTCTTCTCCTGTCGGGGCGTGTGTGCCGAGACTGACTCCGCGATTCGCAGCGGATTCGCCGGATGCAGACGTTCTGCGACCAGAACCGGCCGAGAGCCATGACGAACAAGAGGCTCGAGACGATCGGCAGGAGAACAGAGGTGAGAAGAAGGACCAAGGTGAGAAGGGCAAAGTGTGGAAGCGGAGCAGCCGCCCAGATAGCGCATGCAGCAAGGCGACTGTCCGACGCAGGAGTCAGAAGAAGTCCGCGGGCTCCGAAACGGAGTCGGAGCCGGAAGCGTTGAATACTGGCACGTTGGACGCTGGAACGGTCGCACAAGAGACCAATTATCCCGGTGGCCTGGCGGGAGCTGACGTCAAGACCGCGGAGGTGCCTTCCGGCACTCTGGAGCAAGCTGCGCCGGAATCCGGCGCGGACGCCGAGGAGGACGTCAAGGACGAGTCTCCTTCACCGATCGCTGAGACGGCGACCGCCCAAGAAGCTCTGGTCCCGGACGAGGTCCCAGAGGGGATCCCAAAAGGGGTCCCGGAAGAGGCCCCAAAATGGGTGCCGGAGGAGGTACTGGAGGAGGTGCCGGAGGGCGTCGTCAATGAGAGTGTTACGAGAACTGAGGGCGGGGAGAGGATGACGACCCCGGCACAGTGCCCGAAGGCCCCGGCAACGGCGATAAAACCCGTTCGCGAGAATGGTTCGATATGTGAGGGTCGGCCGGACGGGACGCTGCACTGCCCACGTCTTCCAACAACCATCACTGAGCTTGAGACGCGACTTGAACCTATGGTTGACGCTGAACCTATGGTTGACGCTGAACCTATGGCCGATCCTGAGCCTGTGGCCGACCCTGAGCCTGCGGTCGATCCTGAGCCTGTGGCCGACCCTGAACCTGCGGTCGATACTGAGCCTGTGGCCGACCCTGAACCTGCGGTCGATACTGAGCCTGTGGCCGACCCTGAACCTGCGGTCGATACTGAGCCTGTGGCCGATCCTGAACCTGCGGTCGATCCTGAGCCTGTGGCCGACCCTGAACCTGCGGTCGATCCTGAGCCTGTGGCCGACCCTGAACCTGCGGTCGATCCTGA